CTCGCCCCGCCACCCCGCCCCGCTGCTCCCCGCTGCGCCCGATGCGTTGGCCCGCTGCTCCCCAGGGCCCAGGCCCCCGGGCGGCGGGCGCGCTCCAGAGTCCAGAGGGCGCTCCTTATATTGGATAATAAGCACCTTATTGGGGCGACATCGTCTCTGCCTTCGTGGCCGTGGTGGAGTGGGGTGGCGGCGAACCGGGACGAGGGAGCGAAAGCGGCGAAAGGACCCGCGAGGAACAGTGACCTCACCTGCAGCAGTTTGAGGAGCCACCAGGAGCAAGGCCTGCAGGGCGAGCGCCAGGACCCACAGCACCGGCGGGGACCGCCGTGTGGCCGAGGCCGCCTCCGCCGCCGTCGACGACGCCGACGACCGCCACCTGGGTACGACAGTCCTGCCCGCGACCTCGTCAGCGTCGGCGCGTGTCCGTTCTGTGTCGCACATCATGGTCGCCACTGCACTGGTCACACTGCACACTGGTCTCTCACTGCTCGCGCCTGCGGGCGGCGGGCCGGGGCGGGCGCGGCGGGCGCGACACTCTCGCGGGAGGCCGTCCTGGCGTGCTGCGTGCGCTGCGCTGCGGCGGGCGGGCGGGTCGGGACTGAGCGCGCGGGACAGGCTCTCTGCTCTGGCCCTCCCGTGCACTGCCGCGCGCTCAGGCCCCGCCCCGCGCCGCCCCGCGCCGCCCCGCGCCGCCCTGCGACCAGCCGCCCGGGTCACAGTCGGCGGGGCGGGCTCGGCCCCTCAAGCAGCAAGGGCACTGATTTTACGGCGCGAAAGACAGGCGGGCCGCTGCAGCGGCAGATGTACGCCAATTAACTAAATGCCGTTAGCGGCAATGAGTTTGACCGGTTGCAGTCTTCGGTCCTGAGCAATAATTGCGCCAGACGGAGGAGCCCTCTGTGCCGTGATGGGGGCAGCGCTGGGGGCGCGCGGGGGCGTGCTGCGCGGGGCCCGGCCGAGATTAGGAGGTGAAAGAGGTGCAGGGCGGGTCAGGAGGCTGCCGGCGGCGGCAGGCGGCGGCCCGGACGCAGCGCAGGATATGAGAATGTGAACACGCCCGTGTGATGCGTGCCCGTGTGTGTGTGTGTGTGTGTTTGTGTGTGTGTGTGTGTGTGTGTGTGTGTGTGTGTGAGTGTGTGAGTGAGTGCGCAGCGCGCCGTGTCCTTGCGGTGCGATGCAGTCCATGACGCCCGCATTACGGTGGTTGCCATGGATCTGTCTCCGCGAAGACCTCCCCCCTTCCTCCCCCCCTCCTCTCCTGCCCCCGCGGCACCTCGGCCCGCTGCGCTGCGCTGCGCACCGACCCACCCGCATAGCTGTCGCGCCCGCCGCCGCCTCGCCTCGGCCGCCCTGTGAGGCGGCTGCCCCCTGAGCAATCCGGCGAGGGACGGGGGAGGGGGGGGACTTCCCCCTGCCCCCTTCAAAGGGGCCCTAAGAGTTCTCTCACACACGACTTAAGTGACTCACAATACGCCGTTCGTTGCCGGTCTGTCGGTGATCACTGCTGCCATCACTGCCCCCCGCCCCCTCTTTCCGACTTCCAGTGGTGGCAAGTTGTTGTGCTTGTGCGTGTCTGCGTGCGTGTTCCCTTCATTACCCCTGGTCTGCGGCGCAACTGAAAGTAATCCAGTCAGTCAGTGCCGAGGGGGGCGGTCTTTAAAATATTTGAACTTCCGAGGGAAGCCGTCCAAGTACCGAGTCTTGGCTGCAGTTAGCGGCAGTTGGGACGGGAAGGGAGTTTCTTAGAACGTCCAGGTACAAAACGTAACAGTTACTTCCTTTATTCACACAGAGTACGTAATTCTACATAGCGCAAAGACATTTTTGCAAGGATGATTAAGTTTTCAATTAGGTCGAGGATACAAAATTTACTCACATTTCTTCAACAGATTTCCTCTTTGTAATTACATATTATTTAAGGATTTACTCTACCACACAATTCCTAACTTGTTAGAGTTTCTTTATAACTTGAAGTTTAAACACTTAACAGCTAATATGTGAAACCCCATGATACACCTGATGAGAGTGGATTTGCCCGGTGTCCACTCGCAGAGGTGGGCTTTCGAAAGCGTTCATGG